TCTTTCTTTCTCAGATTGATTTTCACGGCTCCTATTCTGAGGCTCATTCGGCTGGTGATTTTGGTACCGTTTGTTTCCATTTGCTTAATTTTCTCCTTGTGGTATAGTTCACTTATAATGACATCACCACTGTGCTTTAAATATGTGTGTCTTTAATATTTTGCCTGTTGCATGTATTTTCTATTTAATGTTGCAGTTCATATATAGTAGAGATGTACCTCATTTAACATAGAGATGTATTTCTAAAAACTTGTGTCTATATGTGTTTTTTTTGTTAAAAACTCTACATTTTGTTGTTGACATGTCTTAATTTTAGAAAAACTTTACGTATACATTGGGTTAAAATTCATTAGCTAGTGTCTCCTACTCTCCTAATACTTTAGCTTTATTAAATTCCACCTTTTGTCTGTAGTAGTAAATTACTTTTAAATATTTAAACTAGGTGGTGAATGGTGTTTATTAAAAGAAACCCTTATGGTAGATATTTCCTTAAAGTAAAACAAAAATCACCTTTGGTTATATGGCTAATTCTTTCTTAATGTATATGTTTCACTAAGATTTTTAAAAGATAATTTTTCTTTAAAAAAAAGCATGCCTTTACCTAAAACAATGAACAAAAACATGTAATAATGTGAAAAACTAGTAATCTGACTTGTCAGACCTCATGTTGAAAGATGCATGCTATGTTTGTCACTAATCCACCAAATGTCAATATTTTTTTCATACCCTAGGAGGAGATGTGTTGAGCCAGTTTGAATTTAATTTTAATTACCTTGCACGACGCTGGTAAGAGCAATGTACATTTAAATATGTGATATCTAAATGGCATTTAGAACCAACTCTTTTTCTTAGAAAATATAACTTACAGTATAATTAGAAGTCTTCTGCACTGGTAAATTTTGAAAAGCAAAACTGCATATTAGCATAGTCTAAGTAGATTCTTTGAAAACTTGAATTCCACCCAATTTTGAATGGAGTTGCTGAGTCATAGTTTAACTTTACTTTTTCAAAATCATCATCTCACCTTATGCTCCCATCAGCTTTGTATAATCGTTCTGCTGTTTCTGCATTCTCCAATACTTAGTATTGTCCAGCTGCTAAAATTTTCCAGCCTGTTTGTGTGTAATGGTATCTCATTAAGGCTGCCATTTGAATTTCCCAGATTACTAATGAGGTCAAACTTTTCTTCAATTTTATGGATCATTTGTGTTTAATTTTAAGTAAAAACTTTTTCCAATTTTCAGTCTATTTTTCTGTTGGGTTGCTTATCCTTTTTATTTATTTGTAAGTATTACATATTCTGGCTTCTACTGTCTTGTCAGTTTGTCACTTAATTGTTACAAATGTCTCTCACAGTTTGTGGTGTGTCTTTTCACTTACTTTATCGTGTATCTTGACAAGCAGAATTTGTTAATATTCATGTAGTTGAATATATCAGTTTTTCCTTTGTAATCTGTACTTCTGATGTCTTATTTAAGAAATCCATTCTTAGCTGGGTGTAGTGGCACAGTACCTGTAGTCCCAGCTACTCAGGAGGCTGAAGTGGGAGGATCACTTGAGCACAGGAGTTTGAGGCTTCAGTGAGCTATGACTGCACCACTGCACTCCAGCCTGGGCAACAGAGTGAGACCCTGTCTCTTAAAAAAAAAAAAAACAAAGACACTTTGGGAGGCCAAGGCAGGTGGATCACGAGATCAGGAGCTTGAGACCGTCCTGGCTAACATGGTGAAACCCTGTCTCTACTAAAAATACAAAAAATTAGTCAGTTGCGCTGACGGGCACCTGTAGTCCCAGCTACTCAGGAGGCTGAGGCAGGAGAATGATGTGAACCTGGGAGGCAGAGCTTGCAGTGAGCCGAGATCGTGCCACTGCACTCCAG